GCCGCCCCCACCTCCCTTATCCCATTCTCTCTTTTGCTCAATACTTTCAATTTATGTTTTAATGAGGATGATCTACTTACGTGTGACGGGGCTCTCTGGCCAACAATCACAATCAACACGCCTGGCCGCGCGTACGTTGATTTGTAACGGGAATTTGAATTCAGGAAAGCAGTCCTGTCTAACATCCCCGGCAACTGCTGCATCGATGATGTGCCATTTGCTCCATGCAAAGGGTTCGTTTTTGATGGATCGTACACCATATGCACAAGCAGCAGTTTCGCTGATACTGCAATTTACCCACAGAACGACACCGCAACTTTTTGGTGAGTTTGCTGAGAATCAAATATTGAATCCGATTATCGCAACAAATTACGCACTCCAATGAATCCATTGAGTTTAATTCTGTTTCAGTGGTGGGAAAATCAGGTTCCTCCTCAGGACCCAAACTTCCGAATCTTTCTTGTGTGTTTAAAAAAATGACTATATTTGATGTGTGTGTGTGTGTGTGTGTGTGTGTGTGTGTGTGTGTGTGTGTGTGTGTGTGTTTATTTATTTATTTGGGGAGGGGGGGTAGATTTTTTTTTGTATGTGTGATTATCCTCCCATTTTACACTCCAGTCCAGTAGGTGGTGACCTAATACAGGCGAGGGACACCCTGAACCGGTTGCCAGCCAATCACAGGGCCCACAGAGACAAACAACCATCCGCGCTCACACTCACACCTAGGGACAATTTAGAGTGTTCAATCAGCCTGCCATGCATGTTTTTGGAATGTGGGAGGAAACCGGAGTACCCGGAGAAAACCAACAAACTCCACACAGGAAGGCCGGAGCTGGAATCGAACCTGGTACCTCCGCACTGTGAGGTCGACGCGCCTAACCATTTAAAAAAAAAAATCAAAAACAAACATTTTGGACAAGTTTATCAGTTTGACCAGTCAGAAGCACGAAGCTCGGAAAACAGCAGTGGCATTTTTGAGGCAATAAAACAAGTTTGATGACTGCCAGAGGCTGAGCTGCCCTATATTTGTTTACGGATTAAAATGAGACCGTTACGCTTCCCCTTCCCTGCCTAATATGTTCCGCATGGGAACGCCTCTGTACCGAAAAAAAAAATCCAAATACGTGTCGAACTACCCCCGTAGCTGCGAGGCATCGCGTTTAATTTCTTTCCCGCTTCGTGTCTTACCTCCGTTATGTACAATCCCGTACTTGCGACGCTCCA